GCTCGAGCCCGAGCCCGAAGCCTGACCTAATAAAAAAAATTAGAATTTTTCCCTATTCAATAATCAATATAAATTAGAATTTATTTACATTAAAAAAAAAGAATATAAAGGAGGGAAAAAGGATGTGGAGAAGGGTTCGACTAAAAAAAATAAGGGAAAGAAGTGAAAAAAATAGGGGTATTCGACTAGGGCTTTTAGGTTTAATTATAGGTCAGGCCAGGTCGGGCTATTTTGGCAAATCCTGAACCCGACTCGAATTTATTACGTATCGGACCTTTTGGCCCGAGGTTAAGCCCGCGGGCCCATATACTTGTTCAAGCCCGTCCGGGGGCCAGGCCGGCCCGTTGGGCCACCCGGCCAATGAACAGGTCTAGTGTCAATATACACGACTCATAAAATACATAACGAGTTGTGGATAATCCATGGATACAGATACAATATACCATGTATTGGGAATACCGTATCGATATCCTTGGATAAAATTGAATTATTATCCAATCCAGCCCTGTAAAATAAAGTAACTTTGACTCACTTCGCATTTACCAAACAAAAAGTAACTTTGACTCTGCCCTTGTATATAGTCAACTGAACATTACTAGCCAAATGTATACATTGTACCAATCGCCTCTTGATATACCTCGCAAAAAGTTGACCCAATCAGCGTACCCGATCCAATTCAATCCGAAAAACTAGAATTAGGGTCTCATATTTAACTACTTGAATGGGGAAAATGACCCGATCCAAAAATTTTGGGTGGGGTTGGGTTATGGGTCAATCTGCTGATTCGATTGTCAAGTCTAATTGGAATTATTTATGGAGTTGTTAGAAGTTTTCACTCTTTATTTTATTCTATTTAGTCTTTACTTTTTATTGTTTACTCTTTAAATTGTTAAATGTTTAAATTTTTTATTTTATATTTGGAATTTTAAGGTTAATTCTTTTAATTTTGACATTTTTCATATATATTTTTTTATTTTTTATTTTTAATTATTTTTTGGAATGATCCAAATTGACCCACGAGTCAAATCTAACCTGAACATTTAAAATTAAAGTCTAGCATTTGACAAACTAACCCGAAATTCAACCGACCTGAAATCAACCCAAATTACCTTAATCTAACCCGAACCCGACTTACCCAACCCAATTGCCAGGTCTACCTCTTGTGCAAGTTGATACCAAATGGGGGCAGGAAGGAAGGATGAAGAATGCATGTGTCAGATCGTTGGGTGGCAATACCAGTTAATGAACCTATCTCAGATCGGCCCACGACTTAAGCAGTTTGGTCCACAGCCCACTTCGGGGCTCGGCTTCCCAAAAGTCAAATACTCTATCCATGAATCGTGACTAATAAAACAAGTGTCAAGAAGACTATATACGTGGCGGAGTCACTCCTACACAAATCCATGAGTCAAGAATCGAGATGGATCTGTTCTCGTTAAGGGTCAAAGGTTGCTTTGGTCATTGGATTTTCAAAATTTGAAATAAATAAATAAATAAACCCGACCTCCGTTATTGTTTGAAGTTTGAAATCAAGTAACTAGACATTCTATTTCTTCTTTACCATCTTCGTTCTTGATGGATTGGAATCATGAGGTGGCTATTTCAAGGTAGGTAGTACATGTCCCATAAATGTCATGTCTCAGAGTTGGGTCAAGGCTGGACCAAGAAGGCTAAAGCATTCAAGCCAAGGAGCTTCACAACTAATAAAAAAAAATCAGAAATTTAAATTTTGCAAGAAAGAGATTCAATGAAAAAGTGCTTTGTTAGGAATTTTTTATGCAAATTTTCCTTTTTTTTTTTTTTGAGAAATTGGAGATTCCTCAATTGATGCTTAAAATAAGTGATTCCTCAGGAATCAATTTTGAGGAATGGATATGTTCCTTTCATCAAACACATTCCAAGAGTTTTCCTATCCTTGGTTTGATTTTTCTGACATCTTTGTCTTTTTATAAAATAAAATAGTACTACGACTGTAGTTTTACCATGCAATACTTTTTCAGAAAGAGACCAATAAGAATTGATGATATCATGTGACATTGTGTCTTTATTCTAGCAAATAGATATTTTCTCGAATTTAGTTGAAACATTAATGCAAACTTTTGTTTGTTAAATAAACTAATTTACAGATGAACCTTTGACCTTCCCTTATTTTCTCTTTACCCACTTCTTTCATTTATTTTTTTCTTTTGCATATTATAATATTTTGTTATTTTTGACACTATTATTTTTAAGAGTATCGAAGAACCAAAAGGAGAAAAGAAAAAGAAAACAAAGAATTTTTCCTTATCTCGTTATCCAGTCTTCCATTCGGAATATGAGCCTAGGCTAGCATACATTAAATTAAGTACTACATATATTTTACTAAATGAATGACATCTAGAACCTAGGATACTCTACATTTTTTTATTTGTCATTTTGTATTCCCCAAACAAAGTGAAGGGACAGATTTGCTGTTTAATGAACAAATCCCAAGTTCTACTGTTATACAAATTTAACATGTGAGATGGATGGGGCCCTTGTTAAATGTCGAAAGTTTCAAACAATAACAGCATGCCACGTGGCAAAGAAAGTGTCTAATTGCCCTGATTTATTTCTGAAAATTAAAGAGAGAGAGAGAGAGAGAGCATTAATGATGATATGGAACACCTTGGTAGCATATTAGCTGGTATGGATAAGTAAGATTTTACATTCATGCATCCAAATGGGGATGGCTACTCATCTGATGGAAGATTGACCTATCATGTCTGCCCTTTATATGGCAGAACAACTTATTGCTACAGGCCCTAATAGCTAAGAATAATATACCACAACTGTAAGTTTTTGTCTTCATCTCTCTAAACAAAGAGTTCTCAATCAGATAAGATAATGATGCTGGTGACTGGTGAGTTCTATTAGAGAAGTCTAAGGTTGAGCTTGTCTATGGACTAAATTTACAGGCTGCTTTAGTCAAGATTCAATAGCGGTTGGTTTCTGACTACTATCTATTCCTGTTGGAATGAAACCATTTTAGTTGCTGGCCGGCGATTGGGGATTAGCGATTAAAGGTAATATATAAAAGGCGGATGTTCGAAATTGACCAGGACAGTGGGAAAGCTAGCTCGATGGATGGATACTGATAAGGTCGATTTGAAGAAATGGAAAATTGGAGAAAAAGAGCAACATACAAGAACCAGAATAGTTGAAAAATGAAAACGCGAAGGAAAATAGGAAGCCTGGCTATGGGCCCGGCCCTAGCGTAATTGACTGTATCACTATAACGGGTGACGGGTCCTATAAAAAAACAAATTTTCTGGAGAGTGTCATTTACGGATTTACCCCATAAACGATACTCTCGTGGAGGAAGGACAAATTATTTAGCCATCCACCAAAAATGTTAATACTCTTCCATCTCCATCCATCTTTACCCAGATAAGTGGAAGCGATATTGAACACTGACACCCTAAGTTATTTGGGCAATTTTTGTCTATGAATTATTTCATCACTTGGACTGCATTTGGATGCCAAGTAACATCGGTTCGGTTTTGTATCGTTTGGAAATTAGGTGTAATTATTATCAACATAAAATTATACTTTGGTTCAATTTTGTATATGTTTGGATGGGTTGTAGTTTTATACTTTTCTATCCATAGTTTTTAAAACTAGATCGGACCGGATGGTTAGACCAAAAAACTGAGAATCTATCAGGTGATCGGTTTTGTTTTTTTCCAAAATCAGATATTTGCGAAAAAATGTTGATTTGGTCCACAAATTGCTGAACTGAGCAGTTGAACTGCTTGAACCATTCAACAATTTTGACTGTTTTTTATTTTTTTGTCAGAATGGGCCAATCGTTCAATTTAAAGGTTGGACCATTTGACCTAGAAACCGGACCTCTGACCAGTTCGTTATCCAGATCGTTTTTAAAAACCTTCCTTCCATCTATCAGTATTTTGAAAAAAACAATATCAATGTAAAAAGTCATCGGTGTAAAAACCTTGCTTACACCGATGATGTTTTAGAGAGAATTTTTGGAAATATCACATTATCATAGAATGGGGTAAAAATAGTAATTATAGGCGATTGGACGTCATTTGATGAACGTGTCCAGCTTAAAAATGCTTTCAATCCCTCAACAGACAAAGTTAACTCCCAATAAATGAACTAGGCTTTAGTCGATTCATCCATTGGCCCTCAAGATCGTCACATGAGTAGATGAAGAGATTGCCAGGTGGCAAATACAAGTGGGGACCAATGATTTAAAAACCCACCGCCTGCTAAACTGGAAGGTTGCCTTAGAAACAAGGAAAGTAGTAAGTAACCTAATCCATTTCCCAGATGTTCGCGGGCTGGTACTTGGTAGGCTAGTACTATTGTTCTTTGACATAAAGAAGGGTAATTTTGTCAGTAAAAAAGTTCTCGCTGACCGAAATACCCCTAGGTAAGCGCATTACAGTGGGCGTCGCCGGGTAGGACTACACGTGAAGGGTAATAAGAAGACCATTTAATAACACTAAGAGCAGGACCTGTGGGCTGGGCTGAGGGTTGTGGGTACGTACATACACGGTACATAGGGCAGTGCAATCTACCCTGGTCCTCTGTCCTTTCTCCCCCATTCAAAATCATCGCAACGGAATCCGTAAAGCCGACTGAAAGTTCCCGCCCCTCTCCGTAACTTTAGGGCAACCCCCCGCCCCTCGAAATCGAAGCATCGACAGATGGATCTTGTGCAACACGAAGGGTAATACGGTCATTTCCAATTTAACAATAAAATGAATGAAATTCAAAACGAGACGAGTCCGGTTCTGAATTCGTCAAAATGACCCAGCGGTTTTGCAATCACGCACGCGGTTCTGAAGGGAATGACACGTTTGGGTTGTGGCACCCCATCCAGAGTACAGCCTAGCTAGTTGCTCGTTGGTCATGCATGACATGCTATGACATCCTCATACATACATGCATACATTCATCACATGCCTGCACATACATCATCATCCCCTACAACTGCCGCTCTCCGCGGTTCCGCCTTCTATTTATGGCTCCCCTCCGCCACCATTTCTCCCCTCCAAACTCCAGGGTTCAAACACTATTCCGCCTTCTAGAACGTAGAGCAACTGAGAAGCAGCAATGGGTGAGGTAAGGGTTCCTTTCCCGATTAATTGCTTCTCCCTCTCCCTCTCTCAACCTGTTCTTTGTTCTGTTAAAGTTTCGAAACGATCGTGATCTCATTTCGTTTTTCTCCTGGCTTCGTATTGTGCAGAAGGAGAACAAGAATGAAGGCGAGAAGAAGGCCGACGGAGGGAAAAAGGATGATGGTTCGATTACCGTGGTCTTGAAGGTTGATATGCACTGTGAAGGTTGCGCCAAGAAGGTCAAACGATCTGTTAAGGGTTTCGAAGGTACATCAAAAACATAAGAATTAATTTCTCTGTTTGTCTTGTCATTGGTGTTAAAAGCAGCTTTGTTTCAAATTCCTTCAGTTTTTCTGAGTATAGACACATATAAACCAACGAGAGTGAAGCAGAATCTATTTCCTGTTATTTTTTCAAGATAGTTTTCTTTCTTCCTCTGGGATTTTACATAATTGCTTTGCGATCGGGATCCATTGGTCCTATCTCTGTTTATTTACTTACAAAATATTTTGGGAGGATGTAGTTTTGGTTTTTCAAACGGGCGTTCATTGTTTTGATTTCCCCCTTTTCTTATAAAAATGTCTCTGCATCTAGATTTCACCGCTGCTTTGACTTCTGGGCGCGTATTAGACTCAACAATGGCTCACAGTGCATCGCAGCCGTGAGTTGGGAACATCTTCCCATGAATGATAACATCATGTACGGGAGATGTTCTCAACGTACGGCTGCGATGCGCTGTGAGGAGCAGATCCGATCTCTTCATTTTCCTCTTTTCATCATAAGTCATAACATCCATAGCTCACGTTAGAGCCTATTCACTGGGTTACTTACGTTTTGTTTCTTCTGCGTCCTGTGGTGGATGAAGGTGTCGAAGACGTCAAGGGAGACAGTAGCAATAACAAGCTAACCGTGGTAGGGAAAGTAGACCCACTGAAACTTCGAGAGCGAGTGGAGCAGAAGACGAAGAAGAAGGTGGAGCTCATCTCTCCTATACCAAAGAAGGAAGACAAGAAGCCAGCAGAAGGCAAGAAAGAAGAGAAGAAGGAAGAGAAGAAAGAAGACGGCAAGAAGAAAGAGGTAACAACCCGTAAAAACACTCTGTATATTAAATTAAAAAAAAATAGGACTAACGTGCGCATGCTCCAATGTACGTCAGACTACCATGCGCCCCTTTTCTGTAATCTAATATTTATTTCGACGTGTGTGTTTCTGCCAGCTGGGCGGAACCTAAGGGCCACCTGAAATCAAAGCGCTTTCCCAGTGGTCCCCTACTCCCCTTGCGTTTGATCAGATTTACAGATATTTTCTCTCTTTAAATTAATTAAACAGCGCATCCGGCGCATGTTAGCTAGCCTCGTGAGAGGTTCAGAACTTAGGTGTCAGTCCGGAGTCCGGACTCGGGGGTGGGGGGACTTTCGAAGTTCCAATCAGCAATTGCTTCCATTTTATTGAGTCTCAGAGATTGATCAGACGGACCTCCTCCACATCGAGGCGCGTTTTAGCTGAAATTAGATTTCCTTATTTTGAATAAATTAAGTAACAGATTAATTGATATTGTTGTAGCCATCGGAGACGACGGTCGTTCTGAAGATCAGACTGCATTGTGAAGGATGCATCCAGAAAATACGACGAATCATCTCCAAGTACAAAGGTGAGTGATCGGTTAAATTTCAAAAAGAAATACTGACTTCCATGATTAACTTAACATTCAAATTCAAAATGAACCCAACAAATTAATTAGTGGGAGAACATGCATCGTTTAATGAAGAGGATCGTGTTTTCACGTAAAATGAATTACGGACTTCAGTAGTCTTTAGTATTTTTTTTTTATTATTATTATGAGCTGGGAGAAGTGAACTCATATGATATTTTATCATTACTTCCTACCCCATTTGTAGCACTTCACGAAACTGATTCCTACCTTTTATTTTGCTGTCAAATCATTGAAAGCAATGAAAAGGAGTAAAAAATTAAGTGGTGGAGATCAGGAGATCCTCTTTCAATGTTCTCGAGATCCTGGAATATCCATTTTTTAAGAAAAAAAAAATTTAGTTTATATTGTGAAGGAAGGATATTAATCTATTATAATTAAATAATTACTGCTCATTGTTTATCGGTGGATTTGATTTGGGCATTCATGTTTTCTGAGTGACGTCTGACCGGAGGACGGATGGCTTGGACTTGCAGGAGTTCAGAACGTGGCAGTAGACCCAGCGAAGGACCTGGTAACGGTGAAGGGTACAATGGACGTCAAAGCAATGACGCCCTACCTGAAAGAGAAACTGAAAAGAAGCGTAGAGGTTGTTCCGGCGAAGAAAGAAGACGGTGGCGGCAAAGAGAAGGAGGGCGGCGAGAAGAAGAAAGAAGGCGGCGGCGAAGGGGAGAAGAAGGGTGGTGAGGGAGGAGAGAAGAAAGAAGGAGGGAAGAAAGAGGGAGAAAAGAAAGAAGGAGAAAAGAAAGGAGGCGGTGGTGGGGGGGGAGATGCGGGGAAGAAGGAAGAGGCGGTGAAGCCGGCGGAAAATAAGATGGAATATTACCCTCAAAATTATGTGGTGGAATACGTGTACGCGCCGCAGCTGTTCAGCGACGAGAACCCCAACGCTTGCTCCATAATGTAACTACGATGAAGAGTGGGGAGACGTGAGAGTGAGAGTAAAAAACCAATCTTTTATATGTAAATAAAAAAAAAAGAAAAAAAATGTATACCGGAGGAAAAGTACATATAGTAGAGATGGGGGCGGGGGAAAATGCCTTTTGGTAGATTGTGATTGCTGATAGATGTAGCCCAGCAAACCGGGCCAGCCTCGTTCCGGTACTGCAAGTTGGTTAAGGTTTTTTTTTTTTTTTCTTGTCTTCTTATTTTCTTTTAGGTCCTTGTATTGTCCAATTCCTGGGTTGGTTAATTCAATTTTGTCTACTATAAATCTTATTGCCACGTGGATAAAGATATTTAAAGTGTCTTGTCCAATTTGGTTATTTTCAGAAAATGAGAAAAGCAACAAATGATTGGTAAATCTGTCATTAGTAGGAATGTGCAATGTGGCATTGGCATGGAATGGAAGAAGCGGTGGGTGGGTGGGTGTGGTTTGTGGCAGGAGGCGTGATCAAATTGGTCACGGCCGACGGCTGCAGAGTAAGGGCCATACACATACCTGTGGAGTTGCGGGTGGGAATGGGCATAAGAATAGGAGAGCCATCCATCGGGTCAGAATCATATACACATATGGATGAGAGGCATCATTCGTTAAATGATAGGTAGGTGGGTCCAAATGCCAAATTCCTTTCTGTATACATAGTTGGTGTTGCTCTCCTCCTTTAAGACGAAAGTTAAATTGAAAAAAGAAATAATGCGGCAAGCTTTTCTTTGGTTTGTGTGGGCCGGGGGTGGAGCCCTTAACTTCCCAAGTCTACAACACATTCATGTGTTGAGCTTTTTTCTTCTGTAATAGAAAAAAACAAGGAGCATTCTTTTCACCCGAATCTCAAAAGTCAAGAATAAATCTGAACCTCCGCTTTTGTTTTTTAATTTGAAATTTACCCATTTTAACTAGCCAGCTGTCAGCTGTGCTTGTTAGTTGGGTCCCGAAGAGGAAGAGCCCCCAAAGTAGGAAGTAATCCATCTCTTCTTTCCTTCTAGGCTTTTACTCTACGCCGCAATTTCACTGACGGAGGAGGGATTGGAATTACATCATCCACATCATCATGATTCATGCTCATGGGGAATATTTAATATATTGTATTATTGTATAATGCAATGCGCCCATGCCATATGTGCGGGTGTCTTCATGTTGTATTTTATGTATGTATACTGGGTTTGGGTTATACATTTAATTTAATTTAATTTCATCCGGCTACGGGCTACCCTTTTTGTCGTCTTTTAGGGAGAATGAAAGTGAAAAAGAGGCAAAACTTTGTCTTTTTTCTGGCTGTGCCTGATAAAAGGAACAAAAACACGTAGAGTGAGAGTGTAACGAAGCAGTCATGGATGCAACTGAAAGAATATTCTACCTAATAACCCCCATCTTATATATATTAATCAATTTATTGTTATCAAAAGATCGAGTTGGGATCTACTGATCACACAATACATTGCTGCTCATAATCTCTTATACTTTATATCACCGATATTGTTGATGTACAATTGGATTAATGTGTCCACTAATGTATTATGTGATCAGCAGATCCGGATTCTAATCAAAGAACCATTGGTCTTTCTCGTCAAAAAAAAAAATGGCCATCACTCATCAGCCTAAATGACACTGTGTTTCCACATTTTTATAATCAACTACTGTGTTTTCAAAAATCAAACCCGAAGCATCTGTATTCTGTATACCAGTAAAGTTGGGCGGCTGGGTTGAATGGTTTAAGAACAGAACCAACCCAGAATCCTGTCAACTGTCAGCACTTCAGGAGGTATCCAATTCAACAATTAATGGAGGTCAAGTACAGTTTGGAATCATCCATCACACCACCTTGTTTTATATTATATTATATGGACTCAATGGTATCTGAGTTTATCTACATTTCTTTCTTGGCACAAGAAAGAGAAAAGAAACTTATTTGGGATGATGATGTAAAACATAATTAAGAAACAAACAACTCTCTTTACAGGGTTAATTAGGGTCATATCATCAATTGTTGGCTTAGGTTTTGAAGAGAAAGTACTACATTATTTCTCTAAAGGTTTTTTTTTTTTTCTTTTTCTTTTGTCGATTATATCATTATTCTAGATACTCAATATTGAAGACAAAGGTTTTAATAATCTTACATTATCATAACCGAATTGGCCTTACATTCAAGATATCATTCACATGGCTACTTTACATTTTTGTCAATTTTAATGGCTGAGGATAACTGCCTTCACCTTTCCACTGCTAGTGATTAGACAACTATTAACATTGTTTCTGCACAAAATTTGTAAACAGATTTTTTTAATATTGATTATGGTCCATATATAACTTCAAGACATGACTCACATGTAAAGCTCATTTCATGAAATACATGACTACCCTACACTTTGGTCAATTTTATTGGCTTTCTCAGCATAATTTACCTTTCACATTAGTCCCAAAGTAATTCCATATATCAAGTTGTAGTTGTAGGATTGAATTTCATTCTGTAGCCTCTCTCTCTCTCTCTATCTCTATCTCTATCTCTTGTTTTTGTTAATTTAGGAAACTCATTACAACATCAATAATGAAGCTAATAATCGTGGGATTCACTGTCGTTTGCACAAGGTTTGAAGAGAACAATCATGGAGATAAGAATGATAAGATTGAATGTCACATGCACATACTAAAAAGACAAGGATGGGTAGCTAAAGGAATTTGAAGCCTTTCAGTGTAGGACCAACTGTGGGCCTTGTGGCTTATGAGTCAAACTCCTTGTGGAATGGATTCCTTTTCTGATGGGGACCAATTAAGCTAAGTGATGAAGGCTTATTGGTTGGAGAAGATGTATTATTGTATTATGGTTGGTACTACAAGACTGGCAAGGACCCTCCCCTTAATTATCATGTTCCCTTTGATAAAGTTAAGTCATTTTTGTTTGACACACACTTATATAAAGACTTATCAACCTGTCTCTTACAGTGTTACAAGACTACAAGCTTCCTTGAACCTTCGCGGCTTTTTGGGCTCTTGCTAAAAAGAGACACTCATCAAGCGATTGAGCACCAATATGGTGTCCTTGCTTGTTTAAGTTCGATGCACACTTAAAGCAACTTTTTGTACATGGTGGTGGGGTGCTTTGGTTGGAAAAAGGTAGACCGTGGGAAATTTCGCCTTTAAAATAAAAGCACTAGATAGGGAGATCACTCACTTCCTCTACAAAGTTGATTTGTGGTCCATTTAATTTCTTTTGCTCAAACAAACAAGGTTTTTAGCCTTTCAGGGACCCTGATGCACCTTGTCTCAAATGGATGTGGATGACCCCAGAAGTTTCTACGTGCTTGCTTGGTGGCCGCTTTTCCAGTGGCAAGTTCTGAGACAAATGCCCCTAAGTCTCTCTTTGGTGCAATTTCATTTGAACCGGTATAAATGCATTAAGAGTAGAAATCAGAATAGTGCAAAATTTGATTCACTAATACCGGGGTTTTACTCTATGTAATTTGCTTCTCTCAAGGAAATGTTCAACTTAAAAGCTTAAGCTGTTAGGTGAGGTTCTTCATTAGTTTTTTATTCTCTAACATATCTCTCTTTTAACGAACCATTCAATCTAAAAGATTAACATGGTGTTTGGAAGCTTGGGTGTTTTTTAGGACCGATTTTCGAGAAAAAATGCCCATGTTTTCAAGACCTAGTTTTCACAAAAAAAATACTTCTGTCACGTAGGCAATGAGCAACACTATGCTGTTTGGTAAGGTGATTTTCATCATTGTTTTTCTTGTATGTGCTGACAGGTAAGCACCACATAGGATACACATCAGTCAACCGTTGGGTGAAACGGTTCACCGATTCATGCATCGGTGGGGTCCCGATTTTCAAGGTATGCCCGATTTTTTAATAATCGGCTAAACCAAACAATGAGATGCATCGGTGTTTGTTTAAACGCCTATGTGGATCCGACATAGCACCATTTTTTTTTTGAAAAACGGACACGGTTCAAAACATTCCCTAAGCTCTTAGGTGAGGTCCCAGCACAGGTTTTTATTCTCTAATAGCTTTAGGTTTTATTTCATTTCATTCACACATTGAGGACAAAGTTAAAAAGAAATAAAAAAAAAATACTAGAATTTGCATTCATATACTGCTGCACTAGTACAAAAGAAACTTCATTTCAAATAAACCAGGCCTAAGGAAAAGTAAATGCTCTTTATGATATTTTTTTCCAACTGAATTAAAGCTATATCTCTTTAAAATTTGCTAAACACCGATGTGCTGAAATTATAACTGGTGGTGAGGATTAAACACTAGGTCACTTGGTCAAACAGGCTCTAGTACCATCTCAAAGAACAATTCAACCGCATAAAAGCTTAAGTTGTTAGATAAGGCCTCGTTTGGTTCGTGGAAATAGGGGTCTAGAATTGGAGTTGGAATGGGTCGTTCCGATTCCAACTGTTTGATTAGGCGAAATTAAAATTCTATTCCCATTTCTGGTGAAAATGACATTTCTCCATTTGAGGGAATTGTCATTCCCTCCCCCTCTCTTGGGAATGAAATCCTATTCCAGCTTATTCCAATTTCCATTCCGATTCTGTCTGAACCAAACAGACTATAGAAATAGACCATTTCAATTCTAGTTCCAATTCTAGCTACAAGCCAAATAACCCCTAAGATCCTAGTTAGGTTTTTATTCTCTAACACTAGAGAATTCAATACTGTTCGAGTAAATGCCCAATTGACTATAGGAAAGAGCTGATGTGGACCTTAGTTGGTACTGAACATGTGACCAGTCCAAGTGATAACCTGTACAATTTGAACTGCCCACCCAATCAGTCGACTCCAGGCTCCAGCAATCAAATGGCTGGCTCTGTTAGAAACAAATATGTACTAGCAAATATAAATAACCCATCTAGGAAGGGAGAAAACTACAAGAAGTGGAGAACAATTAAAAGTCTTATTCGTAAGAAAATTAGGTTTTGGAATACGACTTCAGCTTTTTTTATTTTATTAATGATATTGTGCCATGAAAACGGATGATTATGATTTATGATAACGATCTTTTCAAAATTATAATATTTTGGTTCTAGGGCTCCTGAACTTGGATACACGCCCTCATAAAACCCCATATTCACATTTGACAGGATTAAGATAAATTAGGTCGAAAATTAGCGTGAAATGTGATCTCAACTGTGAATTTTCAAATCGATTCATTTGAAATGTTTTGAATGGTGAGAAGAAAAGATTACGTCGACCCAAAAGAGAGGCTCATAGAATAATGCACCCTAAACTCAAACATGGTGAAGTAACAACTAACAACTGGTTTAGTTCTGTTCTGCTTATATTCTTGAAATATCCAATCCCTTAATTGGAGGT